TTTTAAGAAATATTGTCGAGTAAATGTTTTTTTTTGGTTTTAAGCTGTCATGCATTTACATTTCAAGACCAACAAGAACCGGAGGGGAAAAGCGTTTGTGTGATTCAAAGTTCTAAAATGAGTTTAAGTGAAAAATGAGAACCGGTTTTTTTGCTATTTGTTCTATTGTTTGTACTCACAACACTGGTTCATACTTTAAGGAAGGAACCTTTTCACAACCTATGCGTTCCATGGATCACATAAATGCTTTGAAAGTATAGTCAAAAGTTTTGAGGGCTATTGTTCTAGAGTGCTTTGAAGGGCTAGGATATGTTTTGGCTCATTTGACCCTAACAAATGTTCAACACTTAAACAATGCCTTTCGTCAGAGCTTGTCTTTTTTTAATGAGGCAGGCTGAAACTCATGCAAATAGGCAGAGAGGCAGCCAGCTGGTTGTGCAGCAGCCAAAAGATCAAGGTAGGGGATTGAGAGGTGAAGGAGAATGAGGGGGGGTTGACATAAATAAAACAAAAGCACCTTTTTTTTTTTTTGCAAAAATCCTATATTCACATTCAACCATTTATGCCTTCCTCAGTCCTTATTTCACTATCCAGTTCTCCCTCAAAATGTGTGCCATTAATGTGTCCCCCAGGCAGGAGAGGACACCAATACACCTTTCCCTTTCTATATATTAGAGAGGGATAGTGTGTCAAAGCTGTGCACCTCAGCCAGCAGTGGATGACAAGCCCCCGCAGTGGTGAGAACATGACTGCACAAATGCATGTGTGCGTGAGAGCGTGAGAGATCTGTCTTTTCCTTTCCTTTCCTTTAGCGCTCATTCCAGTAGATTCTGCTGGCAAAAGATTGGGTTTATCCTGCCAACAGCAACCACCCGTATCCCTCCCTGCTTCTACCCTCCTTCCTTCTTTTTCCCCTTGGCTGCCTGATGAGGAAGAGCCCTACAGCTCAGCCCATTTTTCATCTGCATAGGTGTGATCTGTTATTGGAGTGTGTCTGATTGAATGCAGCCACATGTCCAAAAAGAGGCCATCATGTACATTTTGTTGCAGAAGCATAGATAAACTTAAACTTTATTTTATTTTTTCATGTTATAGTCATAAAAGGAAAGGTTTGAAAATGGGTGTATGGTTTGGATGGGGACAGAACATCAATCAGACTTAATAAAGGAATTAAAACAAACCAAACAACACATCATTTTTTCCATTCAAGCATTTCTTTTTGTTGTTTTCCTGCTGTATGCTTAGAGCCCTCATCTTGCTGGAAGGTTAACCTCCGCCTGGGTCTATAGTCTTTTGTAGCCTTCAGAATATTTACCTGCCGGATAGTTGCCTAAATCCAGTTTCTCATCGGCTCCTTTTTCCCATTTTCTGCTGAAGAAAATCATCCCCACATCACAGTAAATAACCTCCCTGTGTATAGATGGTTCTTTTTTGTTTACAGTCTCAAACGTTCGGCATTGCCTCCCTTCAAACTGAGCAAAGTCTTCAACAGGTTCACCCTACATGGCTTTTTTTTGCTAACTATACAATAGACTTGTTTCTTGCCATTAGCCTCTGTGAAAAATAAATGACGAACAAATAAACCTCTTCTTTTTTCCTTTTTTTTCTTTTTCTTTTATATGTATTTATTTTATTTATTATTTTAATATATTTTTTTTCTTATTATTATTGTTATTTTATTAATAAAAAAAACAAAAAACGAATAAACCTCTTTTGGTAATGTCAGTTTAACTTGGTGACGGTGTCTTGGTGTTCATGCAATGTATGTTTCAGATGATGGATTTAACACTATTCTGTGCTTAAAGCATTGTTTTATAAAATAACGATGGTTTAAACTTTTTCATATCTCCATTCCTGACCTCTCTGCTGTCTTCTCTTTTCTTCATGATCCTGTTTTAACACAAACCACTGATACCTTTTCGGGGCAGCTAGATTTATTATGTGATCAAACTTCTTATAAACTAATTCTGATTATTGAGAATATTGATCATATGAAAGAAAATGGATTGCACTGCATTTTATTGGGGGTTATCAAACTAAAGCAGGCTAAGTACAAATACATGCCAACACTTTTCTCATTTTTATTTTAAAAAAGTCTAATTTTATTCAGCTTTACAACTATGTGTTATATTTTTTTGGTTCGTTGCCTGAAATCCAAATAAAAGGCATTGATGTTTAAAGTTGTAAAAACACTTTGCACAGAATTAACCAAAAATATTACCAGAGATACAGCAAATATTTACTGCTACAAGGTTTTGGCAAAAGGCAAAAAAAAAAAAAAAAAACACTGAAATTTACAATAGTAAAATAAGTGGTAGAACTAAATAATCACTACAAATTCATAAATATTCAATTAAAAAAAGTTAGAAAAATAAAATCAGTAAAAAACTAGATTTATATGTCAGGTATTGTTTGTCATAAAAGCCACAATGGCTCTCCAGCTGCCTTCTTTCAGATGTCAGTATTTGTTGGTTGCTTCAGTCTGGTTCTGGTGTTGAAGTCGAGGTGGTGTGCTGTGGAGACATCCTTTACCTATGAGCTGTAAGGAAAAATCCACACATGAGAGACAGAAAAAAAATAGAAATCAGGTTAGTGACTGTGTTGATTGAATGTATGAGATCTAATTGTGAGCTGACACCTTACCCCTTGGACCAAACAGCTTCATGTAGCAGTGTGTGCAGAACGGCTTCTCATCATACTGCAATGCAATCATCAACACCTGATTACTGCGTCATCACACTCATTCAGCAGATTGTGTTCCTCATTTGTTAGTTATACATTTTCTCATTTATCTTCCTCATGTACCTCAGCATGCTGGCCTGCAGTCAGCTGTCTGTTGCATTTCTGGCACTTCAGACACAGAGGATGGTAGTCCCTCCCCAGGGACCTCTTCTTCTCCCCTACACCAAAAACAAATGACACATAAATAAAGAGCAGGATAAGCCCTTTTCTATGATTCCAGTATAAAAAAGAAATTATTTGTTTTGTTTTAGAATTGTTTTTTTACTAGCTTTAAACTAAGATTGCCTCTACCTTCTGCTTTGTGGTCATATATGGCCCTATATTGAAATAAAGATTGCTTATGATATTTATTATATATGTTATTTTTGGTATAGTTTCTTTAACCAAACCCAAATCCAGTAACTACTTGATCAAGAAGTCACTTAAACCTAACCTGTTTGAGAACAAGCAGAAAGAAAAAAATATATCAAAAGCAACACATCATATACCATTTAAAAGACATTTCAAAATAGATTAGAAGCAATGTCCCTGAGAAATATCATTAAGGAAAATAAAGAGCATACAGTGCTGAACTATCCTGGGAATGACTAGGAAACCAAAGATTATCCAGGACTCAATCAGTCAATGATCCATGAGGTCACACAAGAACACAGAACAAGATATCAAGCACTGTAGGCCTTATTGAATCAGTTAAAGTCACTACAGCTATAACCAGTAGACAGTATATAGCCAACAACCATTGCTGACTGAAAAGAACTCAAAATTATTTGCAATTGTTGATGAACCAAAAAATTCTTCTCCTTAACCAAAAATCTGGAATAAAGTCCAGCTAGCTGTGGCCATCCCATAAAACATACTTGGGCAGGGGGACAAACATCCAAAACACGCCTGCAAGTCCATCTTTGATTGGTTTGAGTTGAAGTCTAAGTTTATATTGCATGAAGGGACTGTTGCAGGAATTAAACAGGCTGTTTGTCATCAAAATATTTCCAGTGTCACAGAATTAAAATCATTCTGCAAAGATAAGTGGGCAAAAATTGCTCCATAGTGATGTAAAAAACTCTTTATGATATCACTGTTATCAGCCGAGTTGGTTTGGTTGACTTTTTCTGTTTTCTTTTTTTTAATACAGCTTTTTATCATCTGAATATTAAGATGTGAAAAAATACTTATAAACAGTGCTGTACACAACTATAAAAGTCGATTTAATTTTGAATAAAAAACAGATATACTTTATATGAGCGACTATTGGTTCTTTATAAGTAGAATTCTCTGAATATTGTGTCTCATCAGGCTGAAGAAATAAATTTAGGGGGAGTATTGCTCATGAGCTTGTTACCCCTTCAACACAAATAGATTGTGATGTTTAGGGAAAAAGACGTACTTAGTTCAGGTCACCATAGAGAATCAGAGATTTCCTTGGTGATCGGATGGGCAAGCAAATTTGTTTGCAAAAGGAACAAAGCAGACTTGAAACTTTTGATGTGCCACTACACCTAGTGAGGTAGAGTATGTCGAATATAAGAGGCAGAAGGTGAGGAGGAAACCCTGACAGCAGTGTGCAAGCTAGTTTGGGCACACCCACATCCTGTTGTTATTATGGATACGAGAGTTTGAATTTATGTTGCGTGAGTGCTTCAAAGAGAAGCAGAAAGCCAGAGAGAGTTAAAGTGAGAAAACTAAACACAAAATGAAGAAGCATTAATTTTACCTCTAAATAAGCAGTTTTTTATATTATTCTCAAGTTTGCTCAAGGAAAACCACATGCCAGTCAAAGCCCATTTACATCTGCTTGTATTATATATTAAGTTCACCTGTACAATCACATTCAAATAAGCTGTGGATGATAGTATGAGCATAAAAAGTCCATATACTAAATGCCTTTTTAAAGGCCTTTATTCCATAGCATAGGCTCAAGTATTAATAGGGGGGGAACCCACCTTCCCCAAAAAAACTCTTAAAAAAGCAACGATCTATGCCAGCCAAGGCAGAGGGAGACAGTGTGAAAATTTAAAGAGGTCTGACTCACCAAAGTAGACAGGCTTTCCACAGATTGGACAGTAGCCTACCATGGTCTGTAATTATTTATCACACAGATCCAATGATCATCCGCGTGCATGCAAGTATGAACTGATTATTTGACAGGAAAGCGGTTTAACTGCAAGTTTGTCAGAATCGTGTGAAGTCAGAGCCGGATGCGGTGGGCCACACGTCACAGGAAGAGAGTCAAGTTTGAGATTTGAGATTATGAGCAACTATGGAAACAAAAAAATGAGTCAGGCAGTATCTTTGATCATGTCTTGCAATCATTTTGAAAGACATCAAAGGTTCTAAAAAGCTGATATCTTACTCCAAACCTGACGAATACTTTGTGTACACAGTGATGATGCTGTTTAAGAGGGAATGAAAAAGGAGCGAAGAAAGACGGAACAAAAACCAGCTGTCAGCTGCTCACATTCCCACCCATCTTCTCCCCTTTCTTGCTCTTTTCACCTTTTTTTCCAGATTCCAAACGAGGTGAGCTTCTGAATCGAAAAGGGAAACCTAATACTTTTTCCTTTCTATGCCTCTGTCTGCCTACCCCCCCACCCCCTCACAAACTCAGACACACGAGCCTCCTCCTGTGACTCACAAACACCCAAACTGCGCACACACCCACAAAAAGGCTGTACTTCTCATCAGTGACATCACAAAAAAGAGGGTGAGGCATGAAGAGGTTGGTTTGTTTGCAAGGACAGATGGGGGAGGTGGTTATCCCCTGAGGACAGGTGATGGAAGTAGACCAAGAGAGGGAGATAACAGTAGCCAGAAACTGATTCGCCTGGTCAAAGAAGGGGAAGTATCATGAACTTGTCAAAACCAGAGTAGAACAGGAGAACAGGCTCCCAGGCCTCTGGCTGGTATTATGAAATAGCTGAAGTGACTGTAAAAGAAGATGTATTAAGGCATTTTCCTGTTATGAAAGTGATATCATCTATTAGAAACAGAGCTGGTCTACAGACATAGGGAGGACCATGTCTGTCATTAATGTACGGGCTTCCTTCAACATGCATTTGGTGTCCTCCTTGGTAAAAGTAGAAAAATGGATCAACAAGACCTTTTAGAGATGATCTTATATGCTTCATAAACTACCTATCTCAAAAAACATAAAGTAGTCTTTAGACACTCCTATTTTCTCTTTAACAGAGGATACTGTTAGATTATGCAAGGAAGGGGAAAGTTTAATAGTGCAGTCATAAAGATTACATTTTCAACTAGCTACCTCTCAGTTCTGCAGGATGTGGAGCATAAGCTCCATGATGCAGCTTCGTCAGGCTGTCGCAGCTGATCACAGCAATTATAGTCAATCAGAGCGGTTCCACTGGATGCATTTCTGATGGGTCGCAGACACACTGGCCACTGGCCGGTTCTCTAAGATAGGTGGCTATTTTATTTTTGCCTCTTGCTGCACCAACTCCACATCTATAAGGAGCAGAGAAGATTGTTCATGCAGGAAATCAGCTGATCTATTTCAGTTTACAAATAAAAAGACATAATGTGTAGATTTTGGATCAGATTTTACGGACCTTTATGTAACAAAAGATTTTCTTTTATCAAATCTTTTTTTTAAAGTTAATTTGAAACCATAATAAATAGGAGCACTGAATAAAAAAAATAAAAAAAACTGAATCAAAAAATATTTGAACTCACTTACCCCTGATAGAGCCAAAAAAAAAAAAGGTGAGGTGATTAGATAAAGAGCGGGGATACAGAACGCTGGTAGTTCTGATAAAATAAACACTTTACTGGTTTGTTGTTCTTGTTAAAGCCTGAAAGTATACTATAGCCCGATGAAGCAATCGTGATCTGAGTTCAAGCTCCCAGAGTTGTGCCACTCAGAAAACACTCTCGGTGGAATAGTCTCAGCACAGCTGCACTGCGTAGTAGAACCCCTTACAGTGTGCATGAAAGGTTCCCTAAGTGTTTGACTGAGGGTTTTGTTGATTATAGCTCTTATATCCAATATTTTGTTTTACTCACCCGAAGCCAGGGAGGGGCACAAAGAAGCCACCTGGTCCATGGAGACCTCAAGCAAGCTCTGCTCCCAAAGCATTTAAAATTTGTAGAAAATGTTTGTTTTTTTAGGACTGTGTTGAGAAATCATAAACAGAAAATAAACATAAAACTGGCTATGCTACACAGAATGATTGCTATGCTGAAACCACACTACGGTATTTTGATTAAAATGTTATTCCAGGGTCTGATAAATTGAAAATGTAAGATGAGGAAAAACCTTTTGGGGGCAAATTAAAACATCTACCTAGCAGACTTTTTTCCAATAAAAAAATAAAAAAGCAATACAATTTATATACATTCTTTGTTATAAAAGGTAAATGCAGGAAGGTTTTCTATAACTTTGTACCCGTGTTAAAATGTATATGATTCTATATATTTACTTTCCTTCTATTCCTTTTAATTCCTAAGAAATGTATGTTAACTGTTTGTAGAAATTATTATATGAACTATAATTATTTCAGGTTGTTTGTATGAATATACAGTGATACTTATCCAGCACCACTAAAAGCAGAAAAGCCTTTCTGCTTTTTGTGGCATTTATAAAAGACCTATTGTGGATTCTCAGTCAATCTGGCCATGGAACTATAAAACTCTGAGAAAAAAAAGGGACAAACTTCATGTATGCCAGGTTAAGGTTTGCCATGCGTGTTCACAATTTACATCCTGGATTTAGACTTGTATGTGGTCATCCTATGAGTCATTTTGGTTGCTTTGGGATAACAATGGTCTTTAATAATATCATTGTGCTTTTCTGTCCAATATGTGAAATTACTGAAAATGTGTCCAACATCATTGAAATGCTGATGAGCGGGCGAGTCTTGATTTAAGGATCTAGCTTTTCTAATATAAAGGGTAAAAAAAGATTAGCAGTCATTAAACAAGTTTTTAAACACTTGCACACATACATACATACATATATACATACATGGACAAAATTGTTGGTACTCCAAATATAAAACAAAAACCCTCAACCCTCTAAATTAATCCATCCATCCATTATCTGACACGCTTGTCCCAATTGGGGTCGAGAGGGGTGCTGGTGCCTATCTCCAGCTGTCAATGGGCAAGAGGTGGGGTACACCCTGGACAGGTCGCCAGTCCATCGCAGGGCAACACAGAGACACACAGGACAAACAACCATTCATGCACACACTCACACCTAAGGAGGATTTAGAGAAGCCTATTAACCTAAAAGTCATGATTTTGGACTGTGGGAGAAAGCCGGAGTACCCGGTGAGAACCCACGCATGCTCAGGAAGAACATGCAAACTCCAGGCAGAAAGACCCTGGACCGGGAATCGAACCCTGAACCCTCAAATTTAATAATAAATAAAAATAAATAAATGAAAAAGGAAAATGAACAAATGAAAATCAGACATTGCTTTTCACCCATGCTGTAACAGAACAATGAAACATGGTTCTGGACAAGAATGATGGTACCCCTAGGTGTGTTCAATAATTAGCATCACAGGTGTCTACAGTCATGTAATCAGTCAGTGGGCCTATATATATAGGGCCACAGGGAGTCAGTGTGCTGTTTGATGACCTGGTGTGTACCACACTCAACGTGGACCACAGGAAGTGAAGGAAAGAGTTGTCTCAGTAGACTAGAAAGAAACCTAAAGACAAGTATGTTAAAGTTAATTGGCTACAGAGGCACATATTCTGAGATTTAAGATTCATGGGACTGTAATCAACCACCCTGGACATGGCCACAGTAGGGAAACTATAACGGACCCCACAAACGGATAAGACAAACGTTAACAAAATATTCCTCTTTTTTTTAAGTTTTTACTAGTGGCTCATTTTTCTGACAGTAGGCTCACAGGAAAGGCGGTATGAGAGAGAGAGAGAGATACGTGGCAAAGGACCACAGGCCGAATTCAAACCAGGGTCGGCCGCGTCGAGGACTAAGGCCTCCGTACATGGGTCGTGCGCACTAACCACTGCGCCACCTGCACACCCCAATTAACAAAATATTCTAGAAAAAAAAAACAGATAAAAGAATGTCCTTTGTCCATAAGATGTTGATGGACCACAGAGTGTTGTCCGAGGAGTTTGCTCTTCTGTGTTGGGCCATGCGGCTGTGGAGAGGTTGTTTGGTTTCTCCAATATACAGACAAAAACAAGGCTTTGTTGGGCCAATCTATAAAGCTTGGAACTCGACGCCATTTCTGAAATTTTGAATCGAAAAAGCTTCCTGGATGAGAAGCAAAACATCTTCAGACTTGGAAACAAAGTCCAGAGGATTGTGTTTTCACTTTTTTGGAATCATAAAAGACCCAGAATGAAACACACCAAACTACATGTTGACAAGCTACAAAGTTTTTCTTTTGTCTCAGTTGTTGGTCATGAGTTTTGAATCAGCATAATGACTCAAAACATAAAAAGAATGGCTAAGAGGAAAACAACGGGCTACTTTGAAGTGACCCTCTTTGAGCTCTGACCTAAAAGTTATTGAATATCTTTATTGAACTGTGCAATTTTTTTTCAATCATTCAACACAGCTACTGCTCACACTGTACGACTAAACCATAGGGTTTAGTCGTACAGTGTGAGTTCACAGCTAACGATTTCTGTTCGGCCCGACGCTCTGATGCGATCTACTTGCTCTCACTTTACGACTAAAAACTACGTCGGACTCAGCTCCGCAGTGAGATGGAGCTGCTCTGACTTTACTATCCCGAAGCCAAACAAATAGAAGGGGGATATTAAGCTCACTAGTGTGAAATGCGCTGCCTTGGCAATTTGTGTAATTTTGTACTGAAAGCCCTAAAAAGAAAAGGTGACGACGTATTTGGACGTATCTTTCAATTTTACAGAAAGAACTCCATTTCACTCATTGCACTTCCACCATGCTTCTGTGTTTACATCTGAGATGAAGAAGAAAAGGAGAATCCTTGATTTCGCGAGTGAGCGATTTGCCTACGACAGTCAGGATTCCTGATCAGGAGGTGGTCATGAGAGGCTGATCGCCGCTCGTAACCCCGTGTACATTACACGACGCACAACGCACAATTAGGCTAAAAGTCAGCCCGATCGAAAAATTCTCCTACGACTGGAAAATCGCCCCGAAAATCCTACAGTGTTTGCCTGGCTTTAGAGGGAGCTGAAACATGTCATTGGGAAAAGGCAGTTAGCTCATGAGCAGTTGGCCAGAGTAGAGTCCGGCAAGGGGTCGGGTACCCGCGGGTCCCCGACGGGTCACCCACTAAAATGCTCTTTTGCGGCTGAAAAATACATAAATAAAAATAAACGGGTCGGGGGTCAGGCAGATATTTTTTTAGTGCGAGCGGGTAGTTGGTGATTTTTTTTTATGCGTGTGTGTTGTTATGGACATCAGAAATGTTAGGCACTGGGGTCACCCTTTTTGTAGCTTAAAGCCCTGCCGGCAGTGTGGGCTTCCCTCCAAAAAGGCCACAGTCAGTGCATACATGTCTGCT